CAGGCCGTGGCAGCATGGCAGGCAAGAAGGGGTGTGAGCAGAGACACTGGAGCACGTGCCCGGCTGAAGGGCCAGGCACCACAGGCTGGCAGCACAGCCCAGGGTGGCCTGGTGGGACCACCAATCCTGGCGGCACCCTGAGCTTGCCTGGTAGGGCTTGGTGCTCCCGTGGAGATGAAGATATCTCCACCTGTGTGGCAGGCACTCGCTGCCCTCCTCCGGAGCCCATCACTGAACGTCCCACCCCCAGGCACACAGCAGCCCCCAGCTCTGGGGCGCAGGGTGAGCGGCTCTGGCCCTGGGAAGCCCAGCTCAGCCCCAATGGGAGTTTTTCCCCTCAGCACCCACCCAGGTAGGAGACTGCCGGCAGCCCCATCCCCCTCCGACCTCCCCAGGTGAGCCAGCCACCAGGCCGCGGCATCTTCATACCTGGCTCTCCACCAGCATGGCCATGTCCATGAACATGTCGTGCAGCTCTCGGATGCTGTTCTCCAGTTTGATGATCTCGCTGTGCCGTGTCTCAATCTCATTCAGTGCCTGCTTGGTGATGTTTGAATCCATAATGATCTACAAGAAGACAGGGCCACTGAGCACTGTGCTCAGCCCCTCAGATGCCAGGACTAGCAGCACCAAGAGACAGAAGAGCAGGAGCACCTCCAGCCACCCCAGCCAGGCAGTTTGCAGCAACCCCCCGCCCTCCAGCTAGGACGCAGCCCCTGCTCAGGAAGCATCCTCGGGCCAGACCCGAGCACCTCCTGCGTGGCCTATGCTCATCATTCTTGTACTGGGGCCACTGTGGCAGCACGTTCACCAGCCAACCCCCTCAGGACGAGTGGGCTGGCTCGGCTTTTGCCCGTGCTGGGCTTGGACCAGGGCAGATATGCAGGGCTTACCCCAGAGGAGAAGATGGCTGGGTTGCCGCTCTCCAGCATGTCCTCCAGCTCCTCACTGGTGGTGGTCCTGCCAGCTGCAAGCAACACAACACGGGTCAGGTGTTGAGTCCCCTGTCCCGGCCACAGGTCCTGCAGCCCTACTGCAGGGCTCTGCCGGCTCCATGGCATCTCCAGAGGGTGGAGTGGAGCAAAGCTTCCAGCCTCAAGAGTGCCCTGGGCAGTTCGAAGGGCTGCCATCCCACAGCCCGGCTCTGCGTCAGCCCTGCGACCCCTCCTTTTAAGGGGGTCAAGCTGCCAGCTTGGCCCAGCTCACCCAGGAAAGCCCGTCTGTCCATCCTGGTCAAGCTGCCCGTTCCTGCAGGGCAGGGAGTGGTGCCAAAGGACCAGCAGCCACCAGTGCCCAGTTGGTGGGCTGCGAAGGAGAAGGGATAGAGACCAGCAAGTCAAGAGCAGGGATGCTCTCACGAACCCCGACCCGGGCCAGTTCAAGGCCAGAAGGACACTGGGCTCAGCAGGGCTAACTGGCCTGGCAGTCACTGCTTGCAGGCACTGGACTACCTGAGTTTTAGCCCTGCAGCTGTGTAACAGAAACCAGGCTCCCTCCTTCCCCCTGCAACACAACCCTATTCCTTGGCCCTAGGGTGGTACCTTCAGCCCCACAGCTCCTTTGGGAACAATTCACCCATTGTGCACAGCTGCCTTTCCCTCCCCATGGACATACTTCACACTGCTGGAAGAGAGGGGTTTTAATCACTCTGTGGGTTACACTAATCCTCTACCATTAATTGCAGCGTGTTCTTCAGGCTAACAGCCAGGTAGGACCTGTGAAACTACAGTGCTAAACAGAGACAACGGCATCGGGCAGGCTTTCACGGGGGCTGCCCAATGGAGTGGGAAGGTTGTCTGCAGAAAGGGCAGGAGACACCGTACCGGTGTGATCAGGAGCAAACGGGGGCGGATGGGCAGGAGCAGCTAACAAAGCAACTTTGCCAAGCCCAACGAACCCAAAACCAGCAGAAGGGCAGGCAGGGTAGGGCTGGGGTCTGGTACGGTGCTCTCCTGAGACATGCAGCCTGCAGGTTCCATCAGTAGTATCAAAAGGGACAATAACATCCTCCAGCATGAGTCCAGGGCACCTCTGAATGGGGGTATGGAGGAGACGCAAGAGAGTGCAGGGACAGCCCACAGGACAACGCTCTGGGCTTCCAGCAGAGCCATACCAGGGGCTCAGACCAGGGAGGTGCCCGAAACCTTTAACCCGGTCCAGACCTTGAGCACAAGTGTGTCAATGCCCCAGGGAGCACTGCAGGGGGCGGGGGGGGGGGCTCTACCTGCCCAGCCATGCATGGCCACACCCCAACAGGCATGCTCCC